TGCGCTTTCACACGAAATGAAGGTCTCTCCAAGCTTGTTATCTTAGGAGATTCATCGAAACGTAGTTATTCTTCGTATCCGCACGAATACTGTTGCAGAGGCCACAGGACTGGGTACATTCCACAAGGTCTCGCTGAAGCTCAGACGAAGTTGCGAAAACGAGGTCGATTTAACATTATGAAGCTAGAGGAGACTACGACCAAATAGAATGCCATACCATTTAGGTCTTCATAGCTATGAAATACCAAGTTTAGTCTAATCCCATAAAGATAAAGAAGCCACCGTATACTGGCTATTCCAAATTTAAGATGGAACAAACTAAGTGAATGGATATTGAGGTAAAATCAGAGTTCATTAAATGTCAAAACATGAAAACGTGGAAATAAATTAAGATAAAACCAGTTTCACTCAAAATGAAAGAGAAAAAATTACCTTTTATGTCGTGCCACCATGAATACATGGTAGAGGCAAAGCGGTACCCAAATAATGCAGGCTGTTGGGCGTATTAACAAGCATATAAATATGAAGGGTAGGAATTTAACGGAATCCATTCGGAAATCGCCGAATTGGCGCACATCTACACCACTTCTATCACTTTCGAGACTAGTAGTCTCACTGCTTTCAAGGACCTGGGATTGACCAGTCTCTCTGGTTGTGTATACCTTTTGAGGAGAGAAGGCTCGGAGGCAGGGGTAAAGACTGAGACCGAGAGTAGAGAAAGTCCATTCAAGACTGTTGGCTAGGGTGCGAGGACAACAGAAGAAGGTGAACCAGTTGGTCAGGTGATGGATCATGGTCCACTAAGAAAAGAAAAAATAAACGCTAAAAATGAGGTACGCAATTAACAGAAAATCTGGCCGTTGTCGATAAGTTTACATTCAACCATAATTCTAGCAGATAAAATTGACCGAATAAAAGTCAAAAGTATAGAGAGAAAAGGTTCGACAGTCGACATCACCAGAAGACAAAAGGGAGCTGACCATGCATGGCTATCAAATTAATAGTAATAAAAGCATTCATAGTAAGGCAATCTATGAAAGTCCAAAGATAGAAGGATAAGCTACCAGCTATCTCGCTGCTTGACAAAAATTGATCCCATTATTACTAAAGCTCCAAACCTAAATTAAGAATAACTCAGAAGAGACTGAGATAAAAGCTCGTCTTCATTGGAGCGGAAAAGGAATTCAGCTTAAATAGCGGCAACCTCAAAATTAAACTTATTTCAAAACACTGAATAGAAAGACAAATCCGCCATCAACTAGTGTATTCGGCCTAAGAATCTCTAATTGGGGCTTTGCGCATAAAATGAAGTGTTATGGGAGGAAATCTTCAAACTCCCGAATAGGAAGTAAAAATCCTCTAAATAAAAAGTAAAAAAAAGA